ACACTTTCGACAAACTCTTCAAATATTCGCAAGTTCGAAGAGTGTCTTTCGTTAGCTTCTGATTTTCGTCCCTTGAAAAGCACCGGAAAACAAATATCTAAACAAATATGCTTACTACGCGAAGCCTGGAGGAATTTAAAATTGATTTTTCATGCACAATTATTCATTGTAATAAGTGACTTCTTTAAATATTTTTTGATACTTAAGTAGGCGGAACAGCTGTTGTGCCATTCTGCCAACTAATGTCAATGATTAGGAATTATGACTATCTGATCAAAATCTTATTTTTATTTAGGCTGACCTGAGATCTGAGTTCATAAGGTAACTGTGTACCACATTAGCTGTAAAAATACCTCCAAATTCGAGAGAAAATCATTGTCTCCGCTTCAGAAGCTCTTGGTGTTTGGATAATGTAATTAGAAGACGTAGATTATCTGAAAAATGTGATGTATTAGCGCTATACATTTCAAACAATCTGATCACACATTTACTTGTTAAGGCATTATATATCAAAGTGGGGGAAGGATAAATATGACATTAAGGAATTCAATGATAAGAAAGATGATGAGAGGAATAAAAGATAAGATCCGAAGAAAATCTTGGTAATACGATAAAATAAGCATAACCAAGGTAGCCTTAATGTAAGGACAAACTATTTTTGCACACACAATAGAGGTTCAAACTTATTTATGGCTAGCGATTCAACAAACTTAAGTATACGCCCCTGACAGTTTCTGTACAAAGGCTGTTTTGATATCAATTCTGTGACTCCTATCAATGACATGTTTCGCAGTGGATGATGATGGTTGTCTGCCATCTGCGCTTATCAGTGTTTGTGAATCCAGCTGCTTTGTACCCATTTTGGAACATGTTCCCCTACCCTCAAGATCATATCACGATTAGTCCTGCCTATGTATGTTTGTCCACACACACATGTAGATTTATAAACGCAGTGGGATGTGACGCAATCGTTTATACAGCGTTGAGGTCTAGATAACAGCAGGTGTTTGGTCTTCTCAACTATGATAAGCTTAGCTGCATAGTACGTTTCGCTAACAGCAGACCTTAACCTTCGTCTTAATATTATGCTAATAGATTCTTCTCTGTATGGTAACGCGATGTTAAAGCATTTCTTCGAAACAGAGTACAGATCAGGTTTGAATCCTCGCTGATTTTTGCAGCGGTTTATGAACTTCAATGGATATCCATTTTCCTCTAATGTTTCCGTTAGTATTTTGATATCATGATCCATTGGGTCCTCTGTACAAATACGCTGGATCCTTTTAAATAAACAAGTTACCAAACCTCGCTTGTATTGGGTTGGACAAAAGCTATGGAAACTTAAATACTGACCTGTCCAAGTAGGTTTCCTGTAGATCGACCGTTTTATTGAACCATCATTTCTACGACTTAGGAGTATATCCAAGAATGGCAGACGGTTTTCTTTCTCTTCTTCACATGTCAGGCTTATGTTGTTTTGTACGTTGTTAAGTCTTTCTAACAAACATGTCGCATCTTCATGCTTTTCACATACCACGATTATATCATCAACATATCTTTTATAGAGAGTAACTTTATTGATGAGATCGCCGGTCAAGCCCTCAGTGTGTGACTTGTAAATATCAGCTAGCAATGGTCCTAAGAGACTTCCCACAGCCACACCATCTATTTGTCCAAAATGTTCACCTTCAAATGTGAAATGAACTTAATCAGTACACAATAATAACAGCTCTCTCACACAAGTTGAGGAGATAGGGAAAGAAGGATTACTGGAAGATATATGATCAAAAATAATGCCATTGGTTTCAATTAGGGGTACAATAGTAAATAAGTTGACATCAAATGAATACAATCCCTTAACTGTGATATTATTATCACTGACATAATCAACAAGTTCAAAAGTGTCTTTTAAAGAAAACTTACATAAATCATTTCGAATAAGAATCAGAGTTTTTGCTAACCATTTCACCACATTATGTGTAGGTGAACGGAACATGGAGAGTATAGGAACCTAAAGGATTATCTGTTTTGTGAATTTTTGGCAATCTATACAGATTAGGCAGCTGAGACCCCATTGGTTTGAGGGAAGCAAATCCTTTCTTGTCGATAACATTGATATTGAGGAGTTTTACCAGACTAGATGTTACTTTGCATTCTAATTTTCTAAAGTCGTCTGATGGAACATCAGCCATAAATTTACTTCCATCGCTGAGGATGGATATTATCTTGTTTTTGTAATCGCATTTGTCCATCACAACCACGCCCGACCCTTTATCGGGTTTGAGAATGATTATATCAGATCTATTTTGAAGTCATATATAATGCCTTAACAAGTAAATATGTGATCAAATTGTTCGAAATGTATAGCGCTAATACATCACATTTTTCCGATAATCTACGTCTTCTACTTACATTATCCAAATTCATAAAAGGGACTAGTTGTTTCAAACTCTTGGTGTTAGTCTAATGAGGGTAAAACCATTATTGATGTCAGTGAATTTAATCCGAAAGCAAAGCAGCTTCAATTTACATGTAACTTAATTAAGATACAGTGTAAGACGCTCATTACTTGAATCATTTCCACAGCATAGATCTAAGATAACTTTTAAACATCTGTGTGAATAAGACTGAGTTAGATTATTTCTTGCGGATAACTGATTTTAGTCTCTCTGACGAAAATCATCTAAACCTGACCACAAACTGTGACTAAAGCACCAAAAATGAAATTATATTTCATGATACAACTGTCTAAAGTGTTCAGAGATCTGTGGCTTAAACCATTCGATGACGAGCTCAGATGGTTACGAGTTTCTAGGAAGAATGAAAGCTAAAAAGTGATTGGTAATGGTCACAAATAACAAGCGTCGGTGCATATGGAAACTGGTTAGTTTCTATTTTGAGTAAAGTATAGGCTTATTGGTTCTCAATATCATTTGCTTTCTTTCTTCGCATTCTTCAAGTTGATGAATTTCAATCATTATTACTACTGTTTTTTATCGGAGTTTTCTTTGCTACTCACAACACGAACTGGTATAGGAATATTTTTTTCTATTTTACTGTCTGCATAAACAGTTATATATCTTAGACATGAAACAATATGTTACATAACTGAAATATTCATATATGTCTGCATATGAATTATTACAGCTTTAGTCAACATGAGAAACTCACCCCATTACCTGACTGGTCAAAATAATTAGCTCAAACAATCATTCAAATTATGTGTATGACATCCATGGTAATCTTCTAATAGTTGACTTTAGTTAAACAAAAGAGGAAATATAAGTATTACATGGAGGAGTAAATGAAAGTGAGTGATACATATTTGAAATATCTCTTCATCAGCTGTACGTTATATACTTGGCAAACAACACAAATTGATATCATAATTAGCTTGTGAAATAAATCAGAACAAACTAGTCTTACACAAAAGGAAAATTATAAAGAAAAAAAAGGGACAGAAAACCCGAATACCAATGACATGTTGTGAGTACTTTTTCATTGTATCAGGAATTTTACTCAGGAAAACTAAATGAATACATATTAAGAATTTTTAAACTACTGAGCTAAACATGTACTTGAAGAAAAGAATAACATCAGAGAAACATTCTACAGAGATAAGAAAATACAGAGTGAAATATGTCTTTCATTGGAATATATGTCTTTACAAATATTCGTTCCACGGTTCATTCAGTTAACCTTCAGACTCTGAAAATAGAATCATTGAACGTAAAATAAAACGTCTTATTTTTTTGAACATGAAGTTTAAAACTGTTTATAAAAGTCATAACAATAGGTAGATAGCCTCAAATTAATATAGACGTGAGATGATGAATCTTACTCTTCCTCGAGTAATAATAATATATTCACTGGAACCATCACTTCATAAGATAAATATGAATATTTGTTATAAAATAAAGAGAATTCCCACCTAATATATAACCAAATACAATTTGTTACTGAGTGATTTTGATGGATTTTGAGAGAGAAAAAGTAAAAATATCAATTGTTACAGAAACTCAAGTACCTGGACAACTCATGGGAAAACATCAGTTAAATATAATTAAGTGCTTCATAAATATAATGAATATTTACATATGGAGTGTTTTGTTGTTAAAATTTACCATTTACTGAGTAAAAAACATTGACCAAAAACTAATTCTTCCAGTGACAAGTATATTAACTCTAACTAGTAAATAATGAAAGTGAAGCAGAGTGGAATTATTTTCTATGTGATAACATATGGGAGCTTGAAAAACTTGTAATAAGCTGATGTTTTACAATTTCTACAAACTTTACAAACAGTTTTTGTGTCAAACTTTGTAGACAAGTATGAAGTTTACCTATCTGTAATACACGAGTAATCACTTTTGTTCCTCAATGAATACCTCATAAAGTGAAATAAGAAAATGAACGTGTTGGAAAGTTGCAATAAAACAATATTTCCTTAGTCCATCAAATTATTGTTTGTTTGGTCTAAGTTTACTTTCGAGTAGGTAAAACTAATTAGATGCAACGAACATTGAATTCAAATTTCTTAGAAATCACAGTGATAACGGTGCTCCAAAAAACAAAACTCTAACATATACTTCTGAGTTCCATCCAGCATGTTTGTTTCTTCAAAAGATATATTGAAAATCTCACATCTATGAAATGCTCTAAAAGCTTAGATACTATGATACGATCTATTTTATCTACTAACATGGCTAAGTTTTTGATAAATTAGCCTTGACAGTATGTCTGTAAATGCTATTTTTAGAAGTGTAACGTAAAGTTTGTAATGTCATATCATTATATAATATGCGTCAAAAAGGGGCGGTTTTCATGAGCAGTCACAAAGTGTGATGTACTTCAAATTTTAAATCAGTATGACTAGTCATCAGCTGAATTCAGTGAAAGATTGTGCTGCAAAGGTAAATGCACAAATTTGTCAAAAACGAACCACTGACTTTCAATATAGTTTCTTAAATGTGACTTTTATTCAGTATTGTGTTGTGTTACTGAATAGTAAGTTACTACCTTACGCAGCTGCTATTTTTCTTATACTTTCAGATGTTTCTAGCTGGTGGTGAAAGAAACTATCTGTTAATTAAAGACTAACAAAACAAGCAAGTGAACAATGTTATCGCTTCACTTAAAGGCGTAAATGAAAATAGCTTGTCTAACAAACTCCTAGGAAGAATGTTTAATACATGATTCAGTTTGCATTCTACTTATAATAACTATAAACTTTTACGTTTAATACTACTTTATCAAAAGGGAATTGAGGCACTGGACAGTGCAAGACGTCATGTATGAGTGCACTGATGACAGTAGGTAAGGTAAGCGTAACATGGATTTACAGATTATAAAGCTTTTCATAACTGACAAACAGATAACTTTCCACATGGTGATGGGATTTGATTTGCATTGTGGTACAGTACAATTGTTTCCTGCATAATTTGAACAGGAAGTTTACGAATACCCTCGACAAAACGATAAACATATGACCCATGGCATAGATTACAAAATAATCATTCGGAAATAGTGTCCGCAAATGTATGTCTTAAGATTACTAACCATTGCTGTCTGTATATGCCCATAACATTGTGATGAATATGTGAATTTTGAAGTGTTAAACGTTAAATTTAGTTTCATATTCTCTCATTTCCGTTGATTTTCTTTTATTCTTGAACAAACACATCAACAACGTACACTAGTGTAGCACTCTCCTTAACCTTCTTTTCACAGCTTCTGTATGTCAGTGAATAATTCTAAGTAATGAACAAATAAAATTCGTATAACCTGTGACGTTTTCATTTAATCTATACATAAAAAATGTTCAACAAAAATTGTTAGATTCCAAAAATTTTACCTGACGTTTTAAGTTTTTTACCATCACCATCCTGAAAAAAAAGATGGATGGAAAGGAAAAAAGACTGTCATTGAAACGAATAAAAAAAAAGAGATTATAGCATTAGATTTGCATATATATATTCAATCCAGAGTTTGACATTCTGATTGTTTTTCAAACAACACACGAGATAGGTGAATTTGGTTACCGTGGGTATCTATCATTTGCTTGGATTTACCAGTTAAAAAAGGTTGTTTTGAAACTGTTTGCTCACACGTTGGTTTTCTCATTCACCGCATGAGTTATCCAATGTGAAAGTGGTAGAAAATATTGTTTGGAGAAAGGATCACTATTTTTTTTCACTTACACCACAAGTAATATCTAACATTATGCTCATTATCTCTTATATATCTACTGGAACATTAAAAACGAATTAGATTGTTTGCTATACCTGCTTTAAACGTCAAACGTAAATACGCTGAGTACAGTTATAGCTCGTATGAAGATAAAATTGAGTTCCATTTTATTTGTTGAAAATCAATTTACAGTTTATGCGTAAAAAGTATGAACTTCACTTCGTCTGTTAACATTTTTGCAGTCGATGCTATCAATAGTTCACACACAATAAGATTTTATCACAATATGCTATTTGTAGACTCATTCCCAGTAGAACTGGACAGAGAGTTGAGAAGTGAAAAGTAAAATTCATGGTAATTGTTGTTTCCTTTTAATCTTTATTTATCTTATTCGTCTACGGACTCGGTCAAGTAACTTGTAGTATTCCTTAAGTATATGACACAATGGATACAGGTTACTGCAGGAACCCCTTTTATCAGGAGTTTAGCTCAGCTACTATGATATGTCTAATTGCTTAGCGCCTACTGATATATGCAATATGTTCAAACCATCTCAGTTACGGTTGTTTCATAACCCGAATAACATATTTGTCTGCAATATCTAGTACTCTCCAGGTAATTTTCCTATCACTCGTTTGATTATGTGTCATTAATGTCTAAAGTGTAATGATTATCAATTACCTGTGGCATTCACAAATCCTACATGACGTTATAAGAAGACATGATCGACTATGATTTAGTAAATATACCCTTGAATATGTATTCAGATATCACGACAACACTAAAAGGGTATAGTTTGGCTTCAATGAACTGATACTCTTACTTCAGTGTTGAGACTAGATCAGCAACTAGGTGATTAAAGCTGACAATATTCCCAAAGGAGGTGAAATTGTCAACATGTTACGAGAATTCTTTCTATTCAGTTTAAACTAGTCTCTCTTCAACAGTTTGAAAGTTTTTAATCAGAAATCAAACTTTACTAATTTGTCACTATGTGTGAATATGATCCTGTGTTATTTACACATCACCAAATTTTACCACCTAGATATTTCACTCACTTTATTCCATTATTTATTCATTTACATCTACAAGTATTATCTTTTTACTTTCTTTCATTCTTTAATTACTTGGAATAAAACAAACAATTACTAGTTAAACTCATTTAACACTTAATTAGATAATAATCTATATAATAATTCAAACTAAACTAATTACATATAAGTGAGAACATTCCAAATTTCGAATAATCTTCGTCAACATAAGGTCGATAACTTGCAGTAGAATTCATAGAAGTGACTACTTTTATTTGTATTTATTTGAATAAATGAACCTATTGATAAATGATATCCTAATGAAAGTCTCATGGATTACTTGAATGAGTTAATAATACTGAAATATTCTAGGGGAGTTTCACATTATATCTGTATTACAGCAGTATAAGTGACATAAATTTGAGAAATAATCTCTACCTTGACATCCATAGACTTACTTGCAAGCGAACAACCTCAAATAAAACTAAATTGGTTAAGGTTATCCCGCTTCACAAAAACTCACAAAAATTTATACAGGTCAACAGATTTGGGACGATATTAAGATAAATAGGCATACAAAAATAAATCAATATGAACATGGAGTGTTAATAGAAAGATATAGTGACTATCATGATTTTGAGGAAGATGAAGAGTAGGTACGGCTTTCTATTCGATTGTTATGTTACTGAATGGTGATTCATCAGACACGTTAATCTGTTCAATTACGAACTCACAACTTTTATTGCTTCACTGAGTGTTGAGTAACAGAAGTGACAAGATGTTGGCATTTATTTAAATCACATGGATCAAACAACCTTAATGACAACAGTTTCTCATAGGTTGTTCGTTAATCAGTAATTAGGTAACTCGTTAATAAATAGACTCTTAACTTCTTACACCGAAACGTTTTCGTCTTTCGAAAAATGGACAGGGCAAGAAAAATTTAAATTGAAACAAAAAGTAAAACGTTCTTCATATGTATTCCTGCTCAGTTTCTTAGTTTATCACATACCATTAATCTAATATAAAATTGTTGACACATTGCAGTTATGTTTTGTTATATTCACTTCTTTTTATTGCTTTGTTCATCTAGATGAGGTCTTAAGACTAAAAGGTGGGAGGTAGTTCGTTTTGTTCCTTTGAAATCATGTAACAATAAGTTAAATTTACGTACTAGGTAGCAGTTTTGTGATACAACTTAATAGGAAATGGGCAAAATTTTCCACTATGGAATTGAAATGCCTATTCGCTTGACGGATATTTTTTATTTGTCCAGATGATCTAAAAACCTGACAGTTGTAGTAAATCGCACACACAATAATTTCTGTGGAATATTAAAAGTGTTTAATTTCTTGTAATCTAATTCTCATAACATTTCTAATAAAGTGAAATGTCAGGGACAAGTTAGACGCCATTAAGTTTCACAACTAACAAACTAAAAACATCCTTTCGTGATGATAAAGAAAAATTAATTAGGAGTTTTTGATAATAGCACAAAGATGTGAAGCTATTTCAAAGTTATCACAGTAGAAAAAAAGAATCCTAGACTGAAAGACATTGTACAGGAACGTCACTCAATTTCTGATATCATAGTGGTTTCAAGTAACTACCCTCTCAACCTAAAAGGTCTCTGCAGTTAAAATAACTCTTCATCATAGACTGAAGTTTGTTGATCTGTACGTATCTGAATTTTTTCATCATTGCAAAGTGACAAGTAAGGATGACGTGACACTCCTTGCTGTTTTCTGGACATAATTAAGAAAACGAAGTAGTAAATTACTCGTGTGTCATATTAAAGTTCTCACATGTTTGGGAAAAATTATATTCCCACATAAATAAACAATCAGAAGGACATGGCAAGGATGAGACTAGATAGACTGCGTATTAAAATAATGTCTTCAAAATTTATCAGTATTAAAGAGAGGAAATACTAGCACTGAAAAGAAATCTTCAACAAACAGAAAATTTTAGAAATGAAGGATCAGATTCCTACAATCTGACAAACTGATCAATAGTTGTTTGCTATTTTAAACGCTCGGTAAAAGCTTTCAGCTTTAGTAGTAGTATGATCCCGTGAGAAGATGAAAGTAAATCCTGTTGAAAAGACTAAGTATTTATCCTGGATTGGAAAACTAGCATATAATATTTGAATAAAAAGTCATTTAATGTGCGTACAGGCGTTTAAAAAGCGTTCATTCAAACAGAGATCAATCAATTCAGTTTACTTGGGAATCGCAAAAATTAGTAAATAATTATAATCGCTTACATCATCTTCCCTTGGTGTTTTATCACTTGCTTCATCCTAGCAATGAATGAAAAACAAAATGGTAATATATCATATAATTACTTGCGTTTGAAAAAAATATACATGTGTATATACATGTCCCGGAATGTAATGCGTACTATTCATGCAGTTGAATATCCTGTTGGTAGTTATCTACAAACACAAACAGCATGCACTTAAGGGTGAGCAACAAGCAATCCAGTCTTCAATGTTGTTTTTGAGTGTAACATGGTATCAGTTGTTAAACTGTAAATAATTAATCTTAGATGTGCCGTTTTCATTATGATAAATCGTTTTGATTGTTAGTTAGTTTCTCAGTTAGTATACCCAGTAGAAAGAATTCAGAAATTAAATCTAAAAAAGTAACAATCGCTTGCAACTGATATAAGTTTACGCTGGAATAAATTAACTTGTACATTAATGATGCATGCAGAAAGAAGAAGGATGAAGCAGAATGACTAGAAAAGTAAAATCCAATATATGACATCATTCTATTCATTCTTATTCACATCTTCAGATAGATCTTCAAAATGACAGTAAGTAATAAAATTATAGATCATTTACACGAGGTTGACCTATTCTGTTTATCAGTTATCAGATGTAGATCTCGGTGCCGATTACAAAACTGCAACAGATTTAAGTAGTGTAGAATTCCAGATTCTAAATAAAATCTAAAGAACCATTTTGTGTTGAGAAATTGCAGTCGTCTAATACAATTTGATCATCACAAACATGAAACACAAAGATATCGATACGCATTTTACAGAAGTACGAGAACATTTTATGCTAAATTCTTAAATAGTAGTCACATTTACAGATAATTCAGGGTAAGTATTGTATCGACTTAAAAGTTATAGTCGGAGTGTATTAGAAGGGTCGTCTATATAGTTTTACTTACTCTATACCCACGAAAAAAAGTTCTGTTGCACGATAAGTGGAAAATGAAATTTTTCAAGGGTTTTAGACTTCAAAAATAATAAAATGAGATGATAATCTCCTTGATTATTGTTTACAAAAACTACTGCCTTCCTAATCAGACTTTAATGGAAGACGATTATACCAGAATGTATAAACTGACTTGAGAGCACCAGAAATAATTTATAACACCGAGGTTTATTGTTATATAATGTTAGTCCAAGTGATAAGACGTTAGGCAAGCGTCTGAACAAGTAACCTTTGTTGATTAATGAAAAAAGGTGTCTAGCAACATTATGGTTATCAGTAAGCAGTATGAATCAATATCTGAAGCTCAGAAACACCCACTTTCTTTCATGAAATAACTTAGCTAATCAAATAACACGATAAAACCAGGTTTCATGATCAAAACAACTTTCTAACTATTAGATAACAACAGTTTAGACGCGATTTTAGTGAGAAATTTGAGTCAGTTGTGCAATGATAATGGGATACAGAAAACGTTTTATCTCTTACTTGCAAAAATCTACTTAATTTTTGCAAATTAAACGCTTGCTAGACATAACCGATTAAAGCGAATCCTATCACTCTAAGAATGGAACCGCTTTAGTCAAAAGCCCAATTTTGACACTGAGTGCATTAGTTTCTCACTTCAGCACAGTTCCAACATGCAGGAGTATGGTCAAACACGGATAAAGATAAGGAATTTATGGCAAATGATTACGCTGAGACCAGGCACAGACTGAAGTGATCGAGCTGCACTGTGCATCCCATACTGAAAGACAGAGGAAACACGTAGGTGTTTTAACTTAGATATTAAGTGTATACAAAAGCATTAGTTACCTGTCTCATGTGTACGGGCTTCATCCTTTTTGAAAATCCTGCTTACAAAAGTTTGATAATCTAAAAGTAGAATTTGCACCTTATGGTATTTGGCTTGCTGATTTACGTATTTTTCAGGGGATAAATTAATATAACACACCCCTACTGCAGAAGGTTTGGAAAGAAGGAAAGGTACCTGCAGATTGAAAGAAGGGCTACCTTGCCAAACTCCTAAAGAAGGGGGACCTAAGTTTTTTCAAAAACTGGTTCGGAATCATGCTATAGTTCACTCTAAGCAAAATATTAGGCCGCATCATCCTGGAGTGACCAAAAAGTGCTCTGGATCCAAAATTACCGCAGGAACTGGCTGATTTCTGGAAGAACAAATCATGTGCGGATCAAATGGCATCACTACGCATCATCATAGAGCAGAGTATAGAATGCCAGTCAACTCTCTACCTCAACTTCATCGATTTTGAAACGACCTTCGGCAGCGTCGACCGAGAAGTAATTTGTTGGGCAGCTGCTTCAACACTACGGTTTTAGTGCCACAAACCTTTATCAATCTCATTCAACAACTATATGAAGACTCCACATGCCAAGTGATCTACAATGGAAAGCTCAGTGACGCCCTGGAAGTGAAGACAGGAGTAAGACAAGGTTGCCTACTATCAATCATGATCTTTCTGATTGTAGTTGACTGGATAATGCAGCAAACTGTGAGGAGCGAGAAGACGGGCATACAATGTTTGACTGATGAAAAGACTCAAGAAGATTTGGCCACCGGTGATAATTTATGTCTGATGTCACACATGCTCGAAGATCTACAGACAAAAACCAACAAGTTGACAGAAGAGGCAGCAAACACCAGAATTCCTTCAGGTGAAAGTAGAGAAGGAAGAGGTGATGAAGATATCCAACAACGACAACAACAAGCACCAATCACCATCAGTGGGAGAAATCTAAGGAAGTAGTCTCTTTCATCTACCTAGACAAGGCAGCATCGTTTCAACTACAGGTGACGGCGGTGGCACAGATTACGACGTCAAAGCCAGGATCGGGAAGATAAGACAGCAGGCCTTCAGTAGTCTGGAATCAGTGTGGAGATCTACTTCACTACACTCAGCGTAAAGCGTGAACAAGATCCGTATTTTCAAAACTAATTTAACCACGCTAGTGCTTCTATGTAGTGGTTGAGAGACTTGGCGCGTCATGAAAAGTATTTCCAACAAGTTACAGACATTCATGGATGAGACTAGACAAACACTGAGAAGACTGATTGGCGACATCACGCACCAGACCCTCGGGTGGAATCCAAAGGGGAAACGACGAATCGGGGTTCCGAGCCGAGGGTGACACGGAGGAGATCGTGTGAGGAAGAAGTGAAAGCTAGTGGGGAGTTGTGGAGCCAGTTTGGAAGACTGCAGAGAATAGAGTGGAATGAACACGGGCTACTAAAGCCATATGTCCCAATAGGAACCCAAGGACAAATAATAAAATAATAAAAATTAATATAGCAAATGTTATTGTTAGAATTATAAAATAATAAGTTTGAAAAAGGATGTGTGTAAACGGTAAATAGCAGACAAAACGGACTACTTGACCAGTCACCTATGTAGAAGTAGTATTCATCACTGACTCAGATCATTTCGATAACCATGAAAGGATAACGCCGCACATCTGTTTCGTCCTAGTATGTAGATCCTAGCCAATGTGCACCTATGACTTCGTAACAGAATGAACCTAGGACCTTTAGGTTTCGTGGCCAGCGTTTTACTATCCAGTTACTCAATTGGTAATTAATGGTTTAGCTTCACTTACGGTTGTCACTTCACGAAAGAGCGCGAACGTTACTTGAAGTCATCACTCCATATAGATTGCCCCTTCAACTTCATTGACTCGATATGTTACAAGTTCTCATTGAAAATTCTGTAAATCCCTTTCTAAAAGTGTCATCGACGAACACTGGATATAAATTTTAATAGTGATTGTATAAAATTCGCATGTGTGAGAGCATTTTTAATTACGGATCGACATTAGCCGAATAATCATTAAAAACCGGGAGCACCACACTACCATTTCGTACTTTACTAGGACTCTTCAGTCGTGTTTGCCAACGACCTCACAAGGAAATGAGTACACAAACACCGAGTCTGACTTCCAATATGTTACCGTTCAAACACTGGATTGAGTTTCGATGATTTCAATAGTTGTCAGTTAGTTATCTCAACAACTGCAGTTACGAATTCTACTTTAAGCGTTGCGAAAGAATGTACATTTGCAGATTTCGTATTTGAGAATAATTATTTCGTTCAAACTTTGTGGCTTTTATGATAGAGAAAATAAACTAATCACAGTATTCTACGGCTAAGGAAAGTTGGATTTTGGATTTCCACCTTTTAGATGCCAGTTCCATATTTGTTGCACCTACCTAAATTTTTTTTAACCCGGTGTTGTTAAAGTTAGAACAAAACAATTTTGGTTCCTTGTCTAGCAAACAAACCTGCAAATGCACACTGAACTCCACTCACGTTAGACACATAGTAATAAATTATCAATTTTTTTCTCACCATACATTTTACCTTATATGGACTATGTTACACGTCACTCCAGAATAATATGATTGCAAAAATCATATAAAGACCAACAGTTAATGTGTTGTTTAACCAATAAATTACGCTACATGTAAAACATTGTTGTAGAAAATTTACATTTATGAATAAACTTATCCGTACGTATGTGTATATTAGAGAAATAAAAATAATTTTTTTGTAAAGTGTTGCCGAAATCGTTGTATACTTCGTTAAGAAAAACATTTGTTGATATATTCCAAGGTCACGTAGAATTCGAAAGATAATTTTCCACAAAATGAGATTAAATCGCAATTTAGTTCTCTGGATAAAATAAATAATAACTGATACTGGAAATTTAATTTGTTTGTAAAGAGACGCAAGGGAATGTGTTTGTCGGATAATTGGAGAGAGACATAAATTGACCAAAATGATAGCGAAATAACTTTAGATGTTCTGTACTCAAAAAAGCTAAAGGTTAGTATTTATTCCTTAAGATTTTCCTCAAGCACATAGGGAAGAAACTTGTTAAGAGTAAGTTTTATTTTTTTCAAAATAACAGGTTCGTTAGATCATGCACCTACCAGTTTAGTGTTTTACGGTTGTTATATTTCCTCAGTCAGGCTGTAGGTTGGGTGTATCGTGCCAGTACATGTAACCTATACTGTTTAGGTTTATGCATTTTATATAGCACACATTTTTACAGTATTA